CTCTGGGGTGGTCAGTCCATTGTTCAGCTTCTTTGTTTGGTGTGTCCGTCTCTTTTTCTCAGTGAGGTTCTTCTTGACAGCTACACATCCTTTCAGACCCACAGCGCTGAGTCGTCTCCTCACAGTGGAAGGATGGACAGAAACACCTGTGGATGTTTTCAGATCTGAAGCAGCTTGATTTTCTCCTCTCTCTCAGAGATGAAAGCTTTAAGTGCTGTTTATCTGATGGGGGCAGTTTTGGGGTCGACCAGGTCTTCCAGGTGGTTATTAGGAGGCACATTTTCAGTTTTCGACCTCCAGTTTTGACAGCTTTGACTTTGAAACATCTCCTGAAAAATAACACATATTTGTTCAACTGTTTCAAGCATCTATATGTCCTGCTTACTCCTTAGTTGTTGAATAAAAACAAGACACAAACACGTTTTAATTCCATAATTTACTTAAGACAGCAGATGCACTTATAGTCCATACAAGTACATGTGCATAAACATCATCTACATAGACAATCTTATATTAAAATCTTATTGCTGCACATGTTAAATAAGACAATCCTTTTATAAACCTATAAAAGGACAGACCAACACTGCTTCATGGAAAAAGTCTCTGTTGTGCTACGAGTGATGCTGTTGCGCAGGATGTCGTTGTTAGTATTGTTAGAAGCACAGATTCTCAAGACAACAGTGATACGTGCTACAGAAACTAAATGGCTGAGAAGCAGAGAGCAGAGCGGAGTCTGCGGGAGTTCACTCTCAAAACCCACGCGTTAAACAACAACACGCCACCACACGTCAGCGTCGGCACACTGTTTCTACTTTAACACAACCAGCGTGTTACTTATTTAACACAGGAGACTGTGCTCTGACTGACCCATCCAGGCTCCGCCCACAAATTCCTTCTGTCCTAGCTACTGTTGCTAGGTTGGGCAAACTTTACAGAACGTTAGCAAAACTTCTGTTCAGCTTAATGAGAAATACGTAAATTTTCAGTGTTATTAATTTTAAATTTTGTTTTGTATTCTTGTAAAAAGTGACACAAGTGGGCACAGTTTTGGTCAAGTAACTGAAGTTTTCAGTGATAATTATTTGTGGTCACTTGCATAAAACATAAACGCCACTGTTGAAAAAAAACAGTATCTCCATTTTTGCTGATTTTTAGTTTTCTACGTGATGTGAGCTCAGCAGCTGTACTGTATATTGTGTCAACATTTCCTGATGAATGGACCAACAGAAAGGCTCCAAAATCTGGGGGTGCTGGAGCCTATCCCAGCACTCATAGGGCGGAAGGCAGGAAACACCCTGGACAGGTCACCAGTCCATCCCAGGGCAGACACACACATATTCACACCTAGGGGCAATTTAGCATGTCCAATTAGCCTGACTGCATGTCTTTGGACTGTGGGAGAAAACCAGAGCACCCACAGAGAACCCACATAGACATGGGGAGAACATTCAGACTCAACACAGAAAGGACCCTGGCTGCCCGGCTGGGGAATCAAACCCAGACCCTTCTTGCTGTGAGGCAGCAGTGCTACCCACTGCCACCGTGCTGCCCCTGCTCCAAAGTCTCTTGGAGTAGAATCTTTTTACATTATCATACAGAGAAAGGTAGGAAAATGTTTACCTTCTCCTGTAAAGTTACTATTTTGGAGATACATGTTTTTCTCTGGACAGCGATGATAAGTGAATTTTGGCCTTAAGTTTCCTGTTCGCCTTAAAAGAGCCGCAGGGAAATGTTTAAATCAAAAATTAAAAAAAAAAACAAAAACAGAATCGTAATTGCTTTAGAAGTTTAAGGGTTTAAGCTTTTAACAGTTGCAAATTTTTCCTTTAAATTTTTGAAGCCTCAGCTGTTTTGGTGCTGGTAGCTATCCAACGTAACGTGAATGTCTGACCGCTGCAAAATTTGAATTTAAATTTACAGACTTCAGTCGTTTTGGCATTTCTAGCTGGCTAACGTAGCAGCCTGCACTCTTACAAACCCTCTTCAAGGGTTCTTTGGTAAAGAAAATGGTTCTGTATAGAACCATGGACACTCAAAGAACCCTTTGCATGTTTAAAGGGTTCTTTGCATCGTGAAATGGTTCTTCAGATTGATGGAGAATGTGCTGTAGATGGTTCTGTATAGAACCTTTTTGAAAAGGACCATCTACAGCACATTCTTCATCAATCTGAAGAACCATTTCACGATGCGAAGAACCCTTTAAACATGCAAAGGGTTCTTTGAGTGTCCATGGTTCTATACAGAACCATTTTCTTTACCAAAGAACCCTTGAAGAACCATCTCTTTTAAGAGTGTAGGTTGTGCAGGTTTCAGCCTACATTCTGGAAAGCTTGTCCAGTGTACACAATCCGAGGTACTCTCTTCTTTAAGAACCGGTCCCCATTAAAACAGTCAACACAAACAAAGGTGTGGTTAATTAACACGTGGTTTTTTTGAGAGTGCAGCCGTGGTCCCTCAAGCGCCGAGTCGCACGCTTATCATTGAGCGGCTTTCCCATCCGAACAGACCGAAAGATCCACACAACACTAAGATTCGTCACAAAGTACAGCAAGAGCTTCCTCACAAAACCAGCTTTCGCTGTGCAGCAACTCGCATCAGAGCTTCTCACAGCACTCTGCAATGCATGATGACAGCGCTATCTGTGCAAAATACTGGCTACGCTGCTCGGCGAAGGTTTGGGGACCACGCCTCCTTCCGGAATTTTCCAAATAATGTTTCATTTTTTTACTACAGAAGTCCAGAGAGGCCATGAGCTGTTGCTATAATTTCCAGGATTGTTATCTTGAGATAACTCGTCATTTCAAGATAACAATTTATTAAGTGTAGAGAAGAAGACAAATAACTCGTTATCTCCAGATAAAAGATAAGCTACTTGTTATTTCAAGATAACAATTTTGTTATGTTGAGATAAGATAAATACCTCGATATGTCAAGATGACAACTTTTGTTATTGTGATAACAAATAATTTATTTCAAGATAACTGTTATTATCTTGAGATAACAAGATAAGTAACGTTACTTCAAGATAACAATTTTGTGTTGAGATAACAAGATAAATAACTATTTACTACATATCTCAACATAACAACTTTTGTTATCTCAAGATAACAGGATATAAAACTTGAAAAGATAAATAACTCGTTATCTCAAGATAACTTTTGTTATCTCAAGATAACAAGTAACTTATTTCAAGATAAGAATTTTGTTATGTTGACATAACAAGATAAATAACTCGATATGTCAAGATAACAACCTTTCGAGATATCTTGATATGTTATCTTGAGATAACAAGTAACTCGTTATTTCACGATAGCACTGTTATTATCTTGAGCTAACGATAAATAAATCGTTATTTCAAAATAACAATTTTGTTATGTGAGATAAGATAAATAACTTATCTCAAGATAATAACTTTTGTTATCTCAAGATGAGATACGTAACTTATTATTTCAAGATAACAATTTTGTTATCTTGAGATAACAAGATAATTAACTTGTTATCTCAAAATAACAATCCAGAAATTGATAACTACCTCATGGCCTCTCTGGGCTTCTGTAATTTGCAGTTACTTTATGGAAATTAAGGTGCAAAGTTTTTGTTGGCAATAATTGTTAGGAGTATTTCACACTGAGCTTCATGCTGTTCGAAAGTGTTTTCATTGGTATTTTGAGAAGTTAGTGTCCCCAAACTTTTGACCGGCAACGTAAAACTCTTTTTTTCAGTTTTTGCATAGATTATCATGGTAGCATCATGTTAGCTGGAGGAAAGAAGCCGTCTTGATTTTGCTGCACTAAATGTAAAAGAGAAGCAACTCTATTCGTACAGAAGCCGGCAGGATCGTCTTTTTTTGTCTGCCAAAGTAGCGACTCCGAGGTTCCTCAACTAAAAGTAGTGCAAAATCACATTCCTTGTCAATATTTTTATATTATCTACTGTACATTTTTTTTAAGAAAGCCAGCTTTTTCACTGCAAGAATGAAGGACGGGGAAAAACGTGCATGCAGAAGTTTTAGATACATACAATCTTTTCACTCTGTTCTTCTTTAAAAAAGGTCAAGATCATGTTCCATAGGACAGGAGCTGCTGATGAACGCAATACAACAGCCACATGAAGACTGTGAAAACGATGTCCCTGAGGGCTACGGAGCTACAGACGTCGGGGTGATGGCGATAGACGATGAGGAAATACACATGGATAAACAAGCTTTTCTGAAATGTAATAGTAACTCTACTCACAATGACCACACGATCTCACTGTACAGTATCGGTCAAGAGTTTGGACAGGCTCATAACACTTTTCTCACACTATTTCTCACTTTTTAAAACAAATGAAAGCTTCAAAACTGTGAAATAACACATGGAATCAGGCAACAGTGTAGCAAAAACTACTTTATCATGTGTCCTTTTGATCGTTTATGATTGTATACTAGAGTAATATCTTTTCACCAGCTTTTCTCTGGAAAAGATTAAGTTGTACTGTTAGGAAAAATCGCTATCTTCATGAAGCAACGTTAGCTAGCAGTGCTGATTAGGCCTCTGTTTTGTTCTTCTAGCTAATGACTAGCTAACTAGCTACCTTGCTAACCCTGGTTTCCTCGTCCACGGTCACTTCACAACAGCCTACCCTGATAGCAAGAGTATAGTGGGCCACCGTTGACCCGCTGATGGCAAAGCTGGTGGTCCACTGGTGTTTTGCTCAGCTTTTTTCTGGTAGCCCACCAGTGTTTAAGCTGAGTAATAGACAAAATTCCACTTATCATCGCTCATTTTCCACTTACAGTCCAATGTTTTCCTTCCTTCTTTAGTTATACTGTAACTATAATGTAAATTAGTTTAGTAAATAACAACAATTTCTATAAAATCATTTTATATCAGGCCTAGTCATTATTTTTTTTCCTCAGTTGTTTGCGATATTTGCCTTTTATTTTAGAAAATAATCTGTGTGCATTTAAAATCTGTTTGGGGAGATTAAAAACTAGGTAGAGCTTGTATGCAGGACAGTAATCTGGGTGGTCCAAGGGTGGTCCAGCAGTGGCAAACAGTCAGCGGGGTGCCGACCTTATCAAGACAGCGGACCAATATATGCTTGCTATCTGGGCTAGCTAGCTAGCTACTGTTTCCTCTATGCGATTAGCAACTTAGCTAATGCTATGCTACCTTCAAGTCGTGTCGGAAACATCAAATTTACGAGATGACCGCACACGAACGCCACCACAAATGTTTACTAGTGGGAAACTCCGATTTCAGTGCTGGTCAACAAAAAAGCAAAGACAGCCGGTGATTAAACTGGTAACATATCTGTTATCCAGTGGCCACAGATGAAAACTGCAGGCTAAAATCATCCCTGCGCTGAAATAAAGACATGAACATGTTATATGATGCTTCTAACTGGATAAAAATTTTGCTAATGCAAAATAAAAGGACTCTTTAAAGACAGAAAACAACCAAAAACATTATTTTCAGCTCATCTATCTTGTTTTCGACCAAAACATGAATCGAGTTGTACTTACAACCTCCAACGTCGTATGTAGGGACGTCCGAGGAGGACTTGAAGGCAGCGTTAGAGACTTACTCATGTTTGGAGAGCATTAATTCATGTTACTCCTCCAAGATTATGTCAGAATAAAGTAGCTGTTATTCATATCATGCCATTGGTGATTTACTGTTAGAGCTGGGCTGTTTCGCACAGTGTGTTTTTTAAGGTACTCGTCCTTGATTACATCACAAAAACTCAGCTAGCTATTATGTCTATCATGCTTCTGCTAACTACACAGCTAATGCTACGCTAGCCTAGCTAATGTTCACACAGTGTCTTTCCATGGTTGACTCGCTCATAATTATGTAGCTAGCTAGCTAATATTCCTATCATGCTATTGGTAACCCTGCTAATGCTATGCTAGCCTAGCTATTGCTTAGACAGTATCTTTTCATGGTTGACTCGCTCATAATTATGCAGCAAACCCCTAACTAGCTAGCTATTATTTCTACCATGCTTTGGTAATTTAGCTAACGTTAGAGCTGGTCTAGCTAATGTTCGGACAGCGTATTTCCATGGCGCTCGTTCAAGATTACATCACAAAAACTCGCTATGATTCCTCTCATTAGTAAGTTTGCTATTGCTACGCTAACTAAGCTAATGCTCAGACAGTCTCTTTCCATCCTTTTATATAGACAGAACTACAACAGGCCTGAAGATGCTCACGTTTTTGTTGGCTTCTAAATCTACTTGTTGGAGGGGACCCAGTTAGCAGAATTTGTCTGGCCCATTTGTGGACACCTCCTTGGGTTTGGTCTGACCCAATATAAGGCTGGGTCTTTGGCCCAGATCTGGCCCACCCACTGTAAAGTGAGTGAAATTAATGGATGTGGGCCAAATCCGGCCCAACTACACTGTTGATCCACAACATTCACGCCAGAATTGGCAGACAAATATAGACACCAGGCAAAACCGTATGCCGCTGTCCAGCAACTGGCCCTATTCTGGCCCACATGCCTAACATCTGCAACAGGTAGTCAACCAACACTCGTAGAAAAGCCAGAATCGGCCCAAAACTGTCTGCTATGCGGGGATGTGAGGTGTTAAATATTTTTATATTTAAAATGTGCACAATAACCTTTCAAACAACATGTTTATGGTTATGTATAACATATATTCAATGAGGTGTGTCCAAACTTTTGACTGGTACCGTACTGTATATACTTCATATAAACCAGTGTTGCACCACAGTAGTAGTTTAATGCTCTGAACATTCATAAAAACCAAAATCTCTGTATGCGTCTTACTGCTAATTCACTTCACCACTGACTGACTCTTCAAGTCTGATCAACTTTATGGTCCAGAATTACATTCATCTAGTGCTGTATGTTAAGGAGTAGAACTAAAGTTCCTCAGTTACCCCTAAAACCCTTAGAACATGAGGAGCTCAGATCAGGAAGTGCACTGATACCACTGTTAAACGGTCAGTAAAGCCCAGATCCAACAGCCCCTCTACTTTGGACACAATGCTAGCGCGTCTGATAACCTTTCGCTCCATTCAAGTCATTGAAGGGTTCCAGGGCAACTGCAGACTTTCAGAGGAACATTTTGTTCAAATCGTTTTATCTCAGTCCACTACGGCAACATGGCTTTCAGGCAGATATTCGCGATATTTTAACAGTTAAAGCCCCAATTAATAATCACTGTAACTATCAGGCTAGTTTAAGTACCAGCTACTTTGAATAACAACAATGCCCCATTCTAAACTAGATGTACTGCTCTCTCTTGTTAAGAGAAAAAAATAATGCCATTGAAAGTCAAGTCAAAATTTTTAAACCCAATTGTTGGGTTTGCCTCAATGACTTTGCAAAATGTTGGAAACTTGGTGAAACTTCCAAGTCTGGATTTTGGAGCAACTGGATTTTTAAAGTGAGATTTTGTTCAAATTTATGAATCTTACACCACTAGGGAAATATGGCTTCAGGCAGATATTTCAGATTAACATTTTATCAGTCAAAGCCCCGATCGATAATCCCTGTAACTTTGTTTTAGCAAGAACAAAAGCTCTGAAAACTCAGAAAATCCTGAGATTCAGCAATCCAACGTTCCATTCAAGACAGTTTCAGCACAACTGTAGACTTCCACTTGAAGATTTTGTTCAAATTCCTGAATCTTAAGCCACCAGGGCAATATGGCTTCAGGCAGATATTTCAGATGGACATTTTATCAATCAAACAATCGACCGATAATCACTATAACGTCTTAGCAAGAACCAAAGTCACAACACTCAGAAAATCCTGAGATTTAGCAATTCCATATCTCATTCAAGTCAGTTTTGGGGCAACTGTAGACTTCCATTTGAAGATTTTGTTCGAATTTCTAAATCTTGAGCCACTGTGGCAATATAGCTTCAGACTGGTGTTAGAGACTAACGTTTTACAGTCAAACCCCGGATCAACAATCACCACAAGCTGCGGACAAATTTTTAGTTTTAGCTGGAATGACTCAGAACCTCAGCATTACCTGGTCTTCAAAGTCAATATTTTGAAATTGAAATCGTTCTGGCTCCTCACCTGTGGGTTTCTACCAGTGTCTGAGAATTTTTTGTGAACTTGCTGAACGCTCCATTAAAGTCAGAGTTTTGAGGCAACTGTAGACTTCCAAAGAAACAAGTTTGTACAAGTTTCTGAATCTCAGGCCACAACGGCACCAAGTTTTCCTTTTTTTTCTGCATCAAGTCTAACAATTTTTAGTTTCATCTAAAATGAAGGTTGGTCAAAAATCACCATGGAATAGCAGACCTCATGTACAGTATGATGAAAACATCCTCTCAAACACAAACAAGTCACAGCTGTAAACCAATACAAATAAAACAGATAAACAAACATGGATCTGGACGGATAGATCAAGGTCGATCGACCCAACCTATGGAAACGAATGATATGGATGGTTGGGTGACAGAAGAAAAGGTAGTTGGATGAAACAGATGGATGAATGAAAACCGTATGTGCCATTCAGACAGGTGTGGTTTGGGAAATGTAGGGTGGGTTTGTGGGTATTTTTTGCTCATGGCTGTAGAGGGCGCTGTACAGGGCGTCTGGTCACTGCAGGTTGGTCAGCCTGCTGCCCTGTTCGATCACGGCTTTAGCAAACTGCCGGAACACTCTGTCCATGTAGGTGCTCTGACGCGGCCACAGGCCCTCCAGAAACCCGATATGTCCCCCATGGCAGGTGATGAGGAGCGCCAGGTTGGGGTTTTGCTTCACAACTTCAACAGGAATGGCTACAAGAGACAAACACACAAACGTTCATTACTGGTGTCGACCCCGACAGGTTCTGGACACACGCCAGCGTTTCCTAACAAACACTTTAATATCTTATTCTCAACACCATCCTGGAAACAAAATTTACATTCCATAATTAACCATAATTTTAAATTTGTTCCTTTTTAATTTAAAATATTCCAGTTTTTGACTTGCAACTAATAGTTCTACATTTATACATGGATGTCAAAATGCCAAAGAAGCCAAAAGACAGATGTTCTGTAATTAGACTTACGGTATTCAGTAATTCGGTCTACTGCAATTTAATCAAACAAGCTGCAGTTTCACTGGAGACTTTGTAGAGACATAAAGCAGCTCTGCCATCACAAACTACGGCTACACCGTCATGCTCCGATCACATGATACAGCCCGTTCTGTGAGCAGAGCTCGTAAACAATCATAACGAACGAAGCCGCAGCACGGCAGAAGGAGGAGCGGACAGAAATGTGTCTCCCTCAGAAAGGTAAAATGTCATGTCCCACCCAGCTTGGAGAAGGAAAAAACACCCATGAATACATGTACAGGGGGGTTCAAAAGTCTGAGACCATCTATTTTGCATCGGCTTTCAAATTTAATACAGTTTTTCATCACCAATTATATTATCAACATTACAATTCAAATGAAAAGTAAATCTCTGAAATATTTACATGATTTCTGAATTTCTCAGTATTTTGTGTGTCACACCTTGCTTGCAGGTGAGGGTAGATATTCTTGTAAGAGTTGTAAGAAAAAGCGATGGCAAACCACAATAGCACATTCAGCGCAAGAGTGTTTATTTAGTGAAAGGTGTTGAAAAAAATAACAAAATGTTGAAAAATAAACAAATAAATGAAAAAATATTTAGAGAATATATTTGAAGAAGCAACAATTTCCCTCAAAGTATGCTGGCTCAACAAACAATCAATCAAAGAATCCATCAATCAATCAATCCATCAATCCATCAATCAATCAATCAATCCATCAATCAATCAATCAATCAATCAATCCATCAATCAATCAATCAATCAACCATCTCCTCTCTCTCCCAGAAATGCAGTGAGCTCTTTAATTAGACTTCCACTGGTCCACCCAACCCAGCACAGACCAGTCCTTCTCCTCTGCAGGGGGAGACAATAATGACCATCAATAATAGCTGATAAAGTAAATGCAGAATCCAAGAAAAGCTTGTTCACACATGGATTCTCGAATCATTAGCTAAAAACACACCGAATTAACAAGATCAAATTAAGTAAAAAAAACATTTTAAACTATATGAATCCCATGAACACTCAAATGGATCACTCCACTAGGGCTCCACTGAGCATGTCTGAATTTGCCCAGGCATTATTTAAGGACAGCTCAAACCAAGCTTGGGCCTTTTCCCAGACCATGAAGTAATGCAGCTCATGTAAGTAATGTATGTTCTAAACCTGCTGCTGGTATCATGAAGTGAAGTCCAGTAGTGTTTTTAACTTTAACTGTAAAAGGTGATATTATGTACCAAGCTAGCAAAGACTGAGACTGCAGTGAGAACTAAACAGCAGCATTAGCTGATAAAATGGTGAGAGAGAAAGTGTATGAACTACTGTAAGACTAGAGCAGCGACAGAACGAGGCTGAAATAAGGGGGGGTATATGAAGGAAATAGGTTTAACCAGGGAAACTAGTTTGTTCGTTCTGTCACAGTGTGTCCCTTTTGCTTTAATAACAGTGTGCACTTGAGCTGGCATGGAGTTCCTCTGCTGAGTAGCTCAAATCCACCTGAGTCATCCGAACGCGAGCGTCACTGGAAGAGAAGACTAAAAAACATATCACCTTTTTACACACAGGTTAGTGTCCCATATTTGCTGACATTTGAGTAGTGATCTAGACAGACTGCAGAATCTTGAATGTCTTAATTTTACTTGTTAATTTTTCCATCTCTAAAACTTTCTTGTTATTAGGTGTTAAAAGAAAAAAACCCAGATTTTCAGTGTGGTCTTAAACTTTTACACCCCACTGTACGTTTGCAATCCAAAACTTTGTGTGTTTGAAGTAAAAGCCAGTGCCGCTCTGTGGGTTTGAGAGGACTTCCGCCTTGTGGCTGAGCTGTTGTTTCTCCTAGATGCTTCCATTTCACAATAAGAGCACTTACAGTTGTCTGGGGCAGATCTAGCAGGACAGAAAACACTTCAACTCTATAATTAGGAGGGTGTCCACATACTTTTGGCCACAGTGTATTTGGAATACGGGGGAAAACTGTGTACATTTGATCATTCACCAAACTATTCCTCTGAAAGAGTTTGCATTGATCTAATGCGGGGTTCCTCACCGTGATTGGGCGAAAAGACATCGTCGGCTGCATTGAGGCACAGCATTGGCACCTGGACGGACTTCAGCTTGTGGATGGGGCTGGCGTCACGGTAATAATCGTCATTGGTTGGGTAACCGAACATAATTGACGTGAAGCGTTCGTCGAACTCTCGGATGGTTTTGGCCTGCAGGGAGTGGGAGAAGCATTAGTGTAAAAGTTTGGCTGACTGAGTGTCTGACAAGCCATCCAAAACAGTGGTACTCAGCCTTTTGACATACCTTCATCACATGGTCTATGTCATAATTCTTTTCGAGAACAGGCCGATGTCTGGAAAAAAAGACAAAAAAAAACGGCTAAGGTGTCTGGGAACAAAAAAGGAATCAGATTTTAAACAGTAAGTGAAAATATTTGCACATAAAGCACATATTTAGCAAACGTAGCTAAAGAACAGTATTATATGATCCTGATGGCCGTTCTGAAGGTCTACAGCTGCGAGCTTAAAATGCTTACACGATATGTTCGAAGGTTTTTTTTTGTTCCGTGTTAGTTCTGATGCAGTCAGCAGTGTTTTAATAATCATACGCTGTCCTGACATTTTATGTCATCACGCTACCAGAACCTTTCCGTTCTGGCTCAGCTCTGCTCTGCAAGGAACAAAAGCAGCTTTTTGTAAGTAATTTCAAAGATGAGCCGAGCGTGGACCATTTCACAGCGAACATCTGTAGAAGAAACGGTTTGTCCTGCATCGCTTCCACTTCTATCCTGTATCCAGATCAGTTTTAATCCACCATCATTGTTGGAGACATTCTGCCCTCATGGTTTTCCTGTGTATTTAATAGCAAATGCCTTTTATTGTGGCATATATAGGAGTAATTACTGATAGCCTTTATTAAAATTATTACTTTTATTATTACTAGCTATAACTGATACCTTCTATGAACTAATCTCCTATTGTAGTGTACAAGAAGGTTTATCAAGGTGGTTTATAAATATCTCTAATTGTAGCATATATGAGCATTTATTAAGGTTACTTATGAACTAATATCTCCTATTCTATAGGATTCTGTCGTGTATAGAAGCATTTATAAAGGTCATTTATGGATTAATATCTCCTATTCTAATGTCTCCTGTTCTAGGGTATAGGAGTGTTTAGTGAGGTTGTTTATGGTCTAATCTTTCCTAATTTAGTGTACAGGAGCATTTAGTTAGCATTAGTTTACTACATTTCGTTCCCCTCTCAACACACGTGTGATGAGAAGAAATGACAATAAAACTGACTTATTTATTGATTTATTTTATTGAGGTTGTTTATGGACTAATATCCCCTATTTTAGTATATATGGAGTGTTTATTGAGGCAGTTTATGAACTAATATCTCCCATTCTAGTGTATGGAGGTGTTCATTTAAGGTCGTTTATGGACTAATATCTCCTATTCTAGTGTATAGGAGGGTTCACTGAGGTCGTTTATGAACTAATATCCCCTATTCTAGTACATATGTGTTTATTGAGGTAGTTCACGGACTATTACTTCCCATTCTAGAGTATAGGAGTGTTTATTGAGGTTGTTTAAGGATTAATATCTCCCATTCTAGTATATAGGAGCCTTAATTGAGGTCGTTTATGGAATAATATCTCCTAGTGTATAGGAGTGTTTGTTGAGGTCATTTATTGACTAATATCTCCTATTCTGGTGCATAGCAGTGTTTATTGGGTTGCAGTCCCTTAAATAGTAATTGGGGATTACAGTAAAACTGTATTGTGCTTTGAGATGGTAGAATTAGCATCTTAAAACTTTGCAGAAGTTCTTCAAAATTAACATGAGCTCTTTTTGGCACGTTTGTTGCTTGTAATTTTAATGTTACGTAATTGGTTATGTATTTAATTAATGTAAATTAGTTATGTAATAATGCACAAACTACTTTATTACTATTAATTTACGAATAACTATACTGTATAGGAAATTGACAGTAATAACTCGACAATAGCTTCAACATATACCACTAATATTAGCTTCTACAGGTTGATGCAGGTCTGTAAGGGTTAACAAGTTTTAGCAGTTAAATAATCTTCATATTTCCTCGTGTTAAGGCACTGCCTCCCACTGTGCTAAAATCTGCTCTCAGGACCGCCTACAGAAATGTGCACTAATCCACCCGACTGTGCTCCATCTCTCACTGAACCGCAGGTCAATCAGGGTCACACATGACTGCCCACCCGTCACTGTTATGTATAACAGACTAAGCTAAGCTAATCCTGCAGAGTCTGACCGGTGAACGGAGGCTTGCAGGCAGCTGGTGAGGTAGGAGTTGAAGAGGAAACGGTCGAGGGGTTTCTCCAGAGACGCCGTGCACTCGAAAACGTCCCAGCCGGCCGAGAACACCACCACTCCCTTCAGACACGTCCGGCGACCCTTACGGCCCAGATAGTTAGCCAGCATCATCCTGAAACACACACACACACACACGTCAGACCCTGCAAAAAAATGAGTGGAAAAATGAGCATGACTAGGGTTGGAAAACTGCACTAATGTGAACATGCTAATAATAATAATAATAATAATAATAATAAACATAAATCATCTTTATTTACACAGCACTTTCCATTTTTGTTCTAAAATCTCAGTGGTTTATAAGGAAGATAAACATTAAAAAACATTAGTGTAACTAAAAAGAATAAAGACAATACAGGAGATTCAACTGCCCTGATTTTAGAACTCGAACTGTTTATAATCACAAATTGAAATTGATTTTGTTCATTTTACTGAAATTTGTCACAACTGAAAAATAAACTTACTGATAACACAAAACTGGAATATTGCTTTATTTATCTGTATTTCACTGCTGTGTAAATAGTTCCTACAGTTACATTTGTGTATTCAGAGTATTTTTAAATAATAATTTCAAATTGTACTAAAATGATCAAATCAATTAAATATTCAGTACCAATTATGAATTTTTCAGTATCTGCTATGAATTATTCAGTATCTACTACGAATTATTCAGCACCTACTATGAATTATTCAGCATCTACTATGAATTATTCAGTACCTACTATGAATTATTCAGTACCTACTATGAACTATTCAGTACCTACTATGAACTATTCAGTACCTATCATGAATTATTCAGTACCTATTATGAATTATTCAGTACCTATTATGAATTATTCAGCATCTACTATAAATTATTCAGTACCTACTATGAATTATTCATCATCTTTTATGAATTATTCAGTAACATCTACTATGAACTATTCAGTATCTACTTTGAATTATTTAGTAACTTTTATGAATTATTCAGTATCTTTTATGAACTATTCAGCATCTACTATGAACTATTCAGAATAATGAATGAATTATTCAGTACCTACTATAAATTATTCAGTATCTATTATGAATTATTCAGCATCTACTATGAATTATTCAGTATCTTTTATGAATTATCAATATAATGAATGAATTATTCAGCATCTACTATGAACTATTCAGCAACTACTATGAACTATTCAGTATAATCTATAAATTATTCAGTACCTACTATGAATTATTCAGCATCTATTATGAATTATTCAGCATCTATTATGAATTATTCAGTATCTTCTATGAACTATTCCGTATCTACCATGAATTATTCAGTAATTACCATGACACTAGTCTTTCTGTAGGTATGGGACTGATGAAGAAGAGGAAGTACAGTTAAAGAATTTAGTGTTAAAATGAGTTAATAAGGTTTAATCCTGCAGGGCTGAGATGCTGTCCAGTCTACTGCTCCCCACTCCAACACACCTGATTCCAGTGTAGCTGACGAGCTGAGGTGTGTTCAGGTGTCAGGTCTGTTGTAGCAGGAGAAAGACTAAAGCACAGCGTCAAGTCTATTAGAGATTACTGGACACCTCCACGCAGTTGAGGAGAGTGAGTGATGATTCAGACATGCTGTTAGCACCATGTTAGTTGGTGGGGTTAAACTTCAAGCTACTTGTTAGCAACATTGTCCTTGTAGCTCCTATGCTATGACTAAAGAAGCAAACTTCAGACACGACTTGAGCTTGTTTGAGGTGAGAGTGGGGGAAGCGTGTAAATTCGATTTTTGGCTGAACTACTGTTTTGAAGGTTTGGGTTTCTGGGTGAAGCAGGAAGACGCTGAATGACGAAGGGTGATATTTTTGTGTCAGACTGAGAGGATTACGCAGGGCTGAGCAGTGGGCGCTGCTGAGCTCGTGGAAATGAAAGTGGAGCTTCATTTTAAACTGAGAGGAGAGTAAAGTAGGACAGTGTGATGTGAGCTGGGCCTGCAAAAGCCACTCTGCTGTACTGTCAACAATGACAACACATACATCACTGATCCCTTTCTCTGCCACTATACACCCTTTAACTGCTGCTGCACTCAGCACTTTCACTTAAGACACATACTTTGCACACTGAACGGTTTACAGGTATGACTGTGTGTGTGTGTGTGTGAGTGAGTGTGTGAGTGATGGTAGGAAAGCATGTTTTATTTTATTTTATTTACTACATATAAATGTCTGATACTGTGCACTGTGAGCTCCTGTAACCAGAACCAAATTCCTTGTATGTGTAAGCAAACCTGGCCAATAAAGCTTGATTCTGATTCTGATTCTGACATACATCACTGCAAAATTAACACGAACCAGCTCGAAAAGCTGGACACAACCTCTCCAGGACTCAATTTGATTACGACTCTTTAGTACACTATTCGCTGCATTACAAAATCCCAGATTTTTACAGCAATTTGTTTTGATTAGATTCATTTAAAGTGGCATGATTCAGGATCACTTTTAAATTCAATACACAAACATGACTGGAGGAACTATTCATTTTAGGAATAGAGATAATAAAAAAACAACACGCAAGATATTATTAATATTTTTATTATTATTATTATTATTATTATTATTTATGGAAGCCTAAGAATTTTAGTGTCAGATCACTGCATTTTTACCCATCTACTCATAAACCAACACTCAACTATAACACCACAACTGATTGGCTCACACACATTAACAAGAACAGCACACTCCTCTAATTAAGGTTTAACAAGGCATACACAGTTATTTAGGATGAAAATGATTTCTGTCCCACTTTAAATCACTAAAATTCTATTTGTTGGAACAGAATTTTTTTTTTAGGTCAAAAAATATTTCTTTTGGAAATACTAAAGTTGTCAACTTCACTATTTACATCTGCCTTAGAAACAAATTCCAACCATTTAAGCATAAACATTTAGACCAAAAATGTCTTTAAAACTGCACCTTGTAAGTTTTGGGGATTTGGAGACCTCTCTGGTGGAAATGTGTAACTGCACGCAACGTTTTGTAGTGTGGGTTGTGCTTCGGCCCCCTTCCCAGAACAGATGAATCTTATGATTAACTCCTTAAATGGCCAGGGCCCACCGGTGGGCCCAAAGTTTTATTACACACTTAAAGTGCTCAGGTCTTCAAGGGTTCTTTAGCAAAGAAAACAGTTTTATACAGAACTATGAACACTCAAAGAACCATTTGCATGATTAGTTGGGTCTCTGCATGGTGAAATGGTTCTTCAGAATAATGGAGAATGCACTGTAGATGTTTTTTGAAAAAGGGTTCTATATAGTACCAGAAAGGGTTCTGCTACTGTTAGAATATCAAGCTTGTCACAAAAGAAGAACCATTTTTGGTGGCTTTCTAGAACCATATACAAGACACTCTCCACCACTCTGAAGAGCCATGTCGCCACGCAGAGACCCATTTAATCATGCAAATGGTTCTTTGAGTGTTCATAGTTCCATATAGAACCATTTTCTTTGCTAAAGAACCCTTGAAGAACCGTCATTTTTTGAGAGTGTTGCTAAAGCAGTTTGCATTAATGTCCCTGTAGTTACTGAAAAATAAGCGTTAATATGTAATAAGCCTGGGGTTAAAAGAGAATCTAAAGAGAACTCAGTCTAAACTTGGTGAAGGAGCGTCTCTGAGGATGTGGGTGAATTATCTACTGCTGTCATCATCAGTATAATGTTGATTTTGAGATCATTTGAGGCCGAAACATCGAGCCGGACCTTCTTTTAGAGTCTGTATGTGTGACGTTTATAGGTAAAGACGTACGACGTGGTGAGAAAAGCTCCCGACTCGGCGCCTCTGACTTTTAAATGATGATTTCAGGCTTTACAGAGCGACTCACAGCAGCACACTCACCATAATTTAGCCTGTTTTTATTCTCCTCACTCAGCAATGAGTGAGGAGCGTTAGATCAGCACACTATGAAGCACATTTGTTTCAAATCATGTACTTTTACAATGTTTAATGCTCTACTCAATGGAAAATTGAGAAATAAACATGCAACAATGAGGCACATTTTCAGCCACTCCTTGTGTGCGCTGTATCGAGAAATGCATTGAATTGACACTCCAGGTTATCAAATCAAAGTTTTTTCATTGTTACGTCCGTATAACACAGCTACTTACCCTCCCATAGAAACACCAGCAGCCATGATTGGGGCAGCAGGATGAGTCTTCTGCACATGTTCAATCACCATCTCCAAATCCTCTGTGTTGGCTGCACAGTACGTCCGTGGAGTCTGCAGAACAAAGAACATCAGAAACTCACAAATCATATGCAAAAATCAAAAAACCTTCATTTACTTAAATTCCAGCCAGACCAGCTTTCGAGTAAAAGTTATTCTTTGTTCAGGACATATTTCTGAGGAAATTAGACATAAGATAAGCCACTTGCATAACAAAGGAGAAAGTCAAAGTGAAAAAAAAACAGGATTTTCCAAAACTGGATTAAAACAACTGATTAAAAGCTCCAGAAAATGAGGCTCCTAACAACCACCTGGAAGAGCTGGTAGAGTTTTCATGCTCTTGGGTAATCAGGTAATGGGGAAACTCCAGGTCTACATGAGTCAGACAGTAATCAGATTTCTGCGTTACAATCAGCTCACAGAAGAAGACGTGACGTAAATGTAATGTAAAAGTCGTCATGAAAGAACATTTAAATTCTTCAAGCATGCAGTCGGTTTCAGCGTCGCTCCAAAAGTGCTGTGTTGGTCTCGCGGGTGCTGTGATAAACGCTGCTCGCTGTTTCTGGGACAGCGCTCTGTTTTCACACTTGCTCAGACTGAGAGAAACGAAAGAAATCAGAGTAAGAGTTAACATGCACTGAAAAAAACACTACTGAGCTCAAATCCAGCCTCTATCAGATTTCTTACTCGGATTTCTAGACCTTAATCCAATGTAAGAAATCGAAGTTGACGTGAGCACTTAAATAATCAGATAACTGCGGTAATCTGGTTATGATCGGATTACTAAATTCATGTAAACACAGTGAAAAGATTATTCAAGTTCTTGTGTAAACTTTGATTTCTTACATCGGATTAAGGTCTAGAAATCCGATTAAGAAATCTGATGAAGAGGCTGGATTTGAGCTCAGTAGTGTTTTTTTCAGTGCATGAAAACTCTTACTCTGATTTCTTTCGTTTCTCTCAGTCTGCACATGTGTGAAAACAGAGCAGGTCTATGGGTGTGAAAAGATGCTGAAACCTTCACTGAGAAAAGGAAATAACCGATGATGTCGAGTCCAGACCTCAACATGACTGAACATTTGGGATGACTTGGATGTTGATAAGCAGGAAATGCAACCAGCTCATAGTTAAAAACACTGATTGGTTAGAGGACTCTGTGTATTGCAGCCTCCCGAGATAATGATGAACGATATCTTGAGCAGCCCTGGTGTGTATCAGATAAAGTTAAGGCACCAATGTGCATCAAAAACAAGACCTCTCTTTTGAAGCAGCGGAACATGAGTGGTATCAGCGGCGTATATCAGATCACAGGCAAACGGCTAACATTAATAACATGGCTAACCTGAATAGATGATGCAGCTGAACAAACCATTCCTGCTATGTGGAATGTTACTGCTATAGTTTTTAGTACCAAATTTAGAGGAACGGTCAAGCAGCTCCCTCCTTTTCTCCACCTCCTCATCCATAATTTTTATTAGCCCCCAAATTGTCACTAATAATGGCAAAAACACTGACAGTACAATATCACTATTTCTTTAAATAAGTGTTATAAAAGTTACTGAAAACTGAAATATTTCATTAAAAATATTTCTTAAAAGCTGTACGTCCATCAGTTTTGAGGGACAGACGTTATCTTGCTTCAGTCACTGACCACATCTTGTCTTCGCAATAGGGCTGGGCAATGTGACGATATGTAATCACTATTGTGATAAATTATGTCACAATGTGCTTTTCTGAGCAAATCATGTATATCGTCAGTATTTAAAGAACACTGACTAACTACGTTTCATTACGTAGTGAGCATAACTGCACTTGTTTAACTGGATTTAGTGCAGTTTTTAAAACATTAAATCAAAATTATTGTAGCTGAAGATTCATTATTTTTATTGTTGTTGTTGTTGTTGTTGTTGTTGTTGTTGTTCTTACAGTATTTTTATAAATGGCATGACACAATCTGTTTTGTCTGTTCCAACTTATTAAATATCAGAAAAATTAAAAATTGTTCTGTATATATCGTGGCAAACAGGAAAAGCTCAGTAGTTCTACTGTGAGAAGCAGTACCTCGCAACTAACCTAATCTAAAGCCCAGCCTTTTAATCTAAACTAGACTGGTCATATTACACATAGAACAGGTGCAAAACCAGAGCTGGTTTATGAGGAGCCTGGCCACTTCCTATTTCCCCCGTTAGATCAAAAACACGACTGCAGAACAGCAGAGGGCGCCTGCGAGCGAGTCCTCAATGAAGGGGAGTAAATAGAGCCAAACAGCTAAAAACGAAAAGTATAGAGATTCAACATGTTTGCCACATTGCCCACCCTTACTGTAGACCAGAATTATACAAGTTAGTTTCAGGTGGTTAGAGATGCGGCTCATAAATATTCATGACGGTATCATGTCCGAGAATCTGCATCTCATGCATATTTATGACGTGCTCTGACTCCAGAGAGGATTTAGCTTCCATCATGAGGTGAACAGAAATCTGTCAACTGTAAAAACAGGCAGTTTACAAACACGCTGCGCTGAGATTCTCAGTGCCACTGAATGAATAATCAGACTTTAGACTTTTAGCCCTGGAGCTCCGAGGCTAATGTAGCTAACAAGTAATGGAAGCCTGTACCATACCAATTAGCATGGTGCTAACGGTATATCTAAATCTCACACGTCTCCTCAGACTGTGTGGAGGAGTTCAGTGTCTCTAACAGTCTTCATTATGTGGTTTCTGGCACTGTATGACTCACTGTGATCTATAGACATAGCTTAATAATGGCTGCTGCTACTGTTTTTAGCTAGGCTAAAACATGTTTGGTCATGTTTGTAGATAACAGTGTGTCATACAGCGACAGAGACCATGTCAGTGTAGCTCCAACTGAAGAAGCAAACTTCTGACACCAAATACTGTCTGACCACATTTGGGGAAAAGGAAAATTTATGTCTTCAATTAGATTCTATGCTAAGCTGATCCTTTACACAGCACTGTTAGCCGTCAACAAGACCTACTGAGGGGTCCGGACTTCCACTCCTTACTACTATAACTTAAAAATACTTCACAATGTTTTCCATGTAGTTACTGAATAACAGTAATGAACCATAACTATTAGCGCTTGTCCTTCATTTTGGGCCCTAAACGTCAAAATTTGGTCAAAAACAAGGAAATAAAAACACCTCTGCTAATGCTAATTTTTTCTTAGCACCCTATCACTATAACTGTATTTTATTATTTTATAATGAAATTGTATTTTTTATTTCATTTTTTGATTATTTTTTTCTTTCTTTGTTTAAGAATTTACATCAGTAGATATTCTAAAACAGAAATGCAACAGTGGGTTTTGTGAAAATAAAACAAGTTTCTAAAAATCAGAACATAATAAATGTTCACTTTTCATACTTCACAATATTTTCCATGTAGTTGCTGAATAACAGTAATGAACCGTGACTATTAGCGCTCGTCCTTCATTTTGGGCTGTAAACATCAAAATTTGGTCAAAAACAAGGAAATAAAAGCACCTCTGCTAATGCTATTTTTTTCTTAGCACCCTTATGGGATTGTAGTAGTATGTTAGCACTAAGCTAACAAACCAAGCTCAGACATTTGAAGCCCATAAAAGACATTCCACATGTTTTACTTCTAACAGACATTAACATGCAGTCTAAAGTTTAGGCACCCCTGGTCAAATGTACATGTTGGTACACAACTGCACATTTTCATACACAATTACTGTTTATTTACTGAATTTAACATATTGTGGAAAATTAAGGCCTGTGCAAATGTTTTGGCACCCTTTAGATTGAATCTTTTATCAATATGTTAAACAAATAAAGCAAATTAGCAAATAGATATAAAGTTTGCGCTGAAATTAGTAGACAAAATGCCGCATTCAAGTGTGTTAACTTACTTTCACTTAGAAAATCAACACGTTTACATTTGACCAGAGGTATTTAAACTCTTGCATACGACTGTATAAACTGTAAGACTGTATATTTCACCTTGTATACGACACTATTGAGTCCTGCCATAGAGCTGCTGCTGCCGCTGCTGTTTTCCATTCCTAGCAACTGACTGAAACCTGCTTAGACAGTCAGTGACGTATCTAGAACTTCCAGACTATTTTTTTTCCCTCTAAATTGGTCCTGTTGTAAATCAAAACGTGATTGGTTGATTTCTTTGGTAGTTCTTAGTTATGTTGGTAGTTAATCTAAAGTGTAAGGCCTTCATCCAGCTCCTAACCAATGGGAGAGCTTGCTTGGCTGTATCTACCTAGATACCACAGAGAAAACAGTCCTGATTGGATCATTTTCTGTTGGGTGTTTTAAAAATTGTAGCCTTTTTCTTTCCAACCAAAACTTAATGAAATAAGAATATTGCTACAATACTTAGTTTAAATAAAACAAGCGTGATGACTTTATTTAATAAAAATCAATTTAAATGACAGCCATGTATTTTTCTATTTCACAGAAATCATTAGGCTTTCTTTGAAGGTCTATAAGGACCTGATGGCTCCTCACTGCTGAATAATGTCTGATTTTAAGGGGTTAAAAGCTGCTTTGATTAAAGTGAACTCTACAGTCCTGGACTTTCTCAGTTGTACATGTCCTCTCAGGGCAGCACGGGGCACATTTTTCAAGCATAAAGTTCAGAGATTAAGAAAGTAGGTCGTTCATGCCTGATAGGTTGCTGGACATCACACGCTTTGGTCAGAATCTTGGGGAACTTGAGAGGCTCATTAGGAGTTCATTAGCACAGAGAGAGGGAGAGAGAGAGAAAGGCAGGTCAGCACTCACTCAATTTAACACATCCAATATTACAGTCTATACAGAGGCTACTGCAGCGTTCGGCTCAGGGCTTCGTTAATACACAGACAGCTCTTACAGAAACGCAACTGACTCACTGCTGCTGTTCCGGTTAATCAGGGTCACAAGGTCACGCCCACATCAGAGCTGCTCCTGACCAAAGCAGCATTCAGAATGTCCAGAGCCTGAACACTCTGTCCAGAGCGGGAATGGGAGCGTTAGCCCACTGCCCTATTAAACACAATGACACACATTCACTCGAAGT